CCCTAAACCCTAAACCCCAAAGCCGCACCTGGAAGGTCGACGCCATGTCCTCCAAATCTTTCCTGAACCGAGGCCGCCGAGGTTTAGGGTTTAGGGAGCTTCTGGTGCTTGGGGAAAGAGGTGGGTTTGATGAAGGTTTCTTGGGGCTCTCTAGGGATTTTGAAGGCTGGTTGAGGGCTTAACAGGGTTTTGGTGTGTTGGATAGCCCCTGAACCCACAACCGGGTTTAGGGCTTTAGGCTTTAGGGTTTTAGGGTAGTGTCGTTGATGATCAACATCGAAACAGTTGTGAAAGCGGTGGAGGTACACTAGAGCCAACAATAAACAGAAGGACCGGGACTGGCCGAGGAAATGTGTGGTTACTCCCAAACACTGTTGACATTGATCGTGTCGATTGTTGGCGCAGTGAGTGGACTGAGCAAATCGCGAATGTAGAAGGCGAAGGGCCGCCTGGCTGGCCATGCGGTCGAGGTCCTTGTCCAGCTTCAGCAGATCCTGAACCGTGATGACGCGGAAAGTCTCCGCTGGGATCTTGACGTCGTGGCAGTGGCATTTCATCGTCGCCGCCAAATCCGGTGACAGGCCGAGCAAATGCTTGAGAGTGTCCACTCCTCCGCCTTGAGCTCCGATGCTGGTGGCGTTGAGCTGCAGCTCGTCCAGCAGCAAAGGCCTCTCGTCGCACAGCAAGTTGCGCGGATTTAGATCATTAGCAGTCGGACCATAGAAGCCCCAGCAGGTGAAAGGTTACGTAACTCACTCTCTTCTACGGTCTGGGCCAGAAACCCTACACCCTACCTGCAGGTTCATGGGTAGTTGTAGGTATAGGGTCATAGGTAGGGTCACTATAGTTCTAACCTATATTCGGGGACATATAACCCTACCTTTAACGACCCATGAACCTCCAAGTAGGCCCTAAACCCTAAACCCTAAACCCTAAAACCTAAACCCTAAACCCTAAACCCTAAACCCTAAACCCTAAGCCCTTAAACCCTAAACCCTAACCTGTGGTAAAGTTTGGGGAAGACGAGATCTTGGGTTTAGGGTTTAGGGCTTAGGATTTGATAAAGTTTGCGGAGAGCCCAGTGTGGCATATCCCTGGAGGATCCCTAGAGAATTCGAGGTATCTCGGGAAGCCCGAAGAACTGCCTAATCCTTCTGAAGCGATGATAAAACTCGAACATGTCCCTTTGCATGCTCCTTGTCACCCTGAACCCTAAACCCCTAAACCCTAAACCCCTAAACCCTAAACCCTAAACCCCTAAACCCTAAACCCCTAAAGCCCACATAACATCAATATGGAGCCCTTCTTCTCAAATCCTTACGAGGCGAGGCCGAACCAGGGCCCCCGACGCCAGGTTCTTAGCGCTCACGATGCTCTTCTGGACACGGCCTGGGTATAGGGGCCTAGTAGACAGAATAGAGTTGTGGTGTATGTTTCTTTAATACATCTGAAAATCGCACTACAATACTCAGGCCAAACATGCATCAATCAGAGCAGTCTATCTTGAGTCTTGGGGGGCAGGGATCTTCTCCGCATTCTTAGATTTCTTGATTTGGGTGGTTGTCAAAATTATGGTCCCTTTTGGGGTACCCTAAATAATAGGTGCCGTATTATAATAAGGACCCAAAAAGGGACCATAATTTTGACAACCACCCATTTAGACGGCACCAACCCACCCCTGCAACCTTCCTTGTTGAAGAGTCCTTCGGGGCGAGCCGGCTCCAACCATCCACGGTACTCCTCCATCTTCACGGAGGAGTACCTTTGGTTCCTAGCCTCCTCCTTTGCAACCTCCGCCACTTGGAGGTTCATGGCTAGTTATAAGTGGGACTAGAAGTCCCCTAATGTGGGTTATAACTGTAGTTACCTTACTTATAACCCCACTTATAACTACCCATGGGCCTCCAAGCACCCTTCCTTCCATCACCATCCTTTCCACCTCCACCTTTCATCTCGAGGGCGCCACCTTGGACGAATCCTTCTTCAACAAATTCTAAGGTAGAACCCATGGGCCCCTAGTATGGGCCCTTAACCCTGGGACCCTAATATACCTACTATATACCCTATATATACCCTTATGGGACCCTAGAGCCCCCTAAGGGCCCATGTTAGGGGCCCATGGGTTCAACCTTAGACAGATTATTCAGGGTTTAGGGTTTAGGGTTTAGGGTTTAGGGTTTAGGGAATTATTCAGCCATAGCTCGTCTATGAAGTCGTAGTGGTTGTAGCCGTAGCCATCGTAGTACAGCTAGGGCGGATGCCTGGCCTGGTGCTCCCGCTCCCTCCCCGTACCGCTACTCATCATGGACGTAGCCGATGGAGGCCTGCTGTAGGGCTCTTCTTTTATGGTTTTGTGTACCTCTACAGGCATTTACAGGGTTTGCGTAAGAGCAGAAATGCCATCAGTAACAACACGACCAAAAAACCTGGATCAACTGCCGACACAACGCGGATGGACTCTAGAAAACCTCACGAACCTTGCTACAAAAGAACCTACAAATCGTCTAGAATCCCAGACACCCGAAGCAGACCAATAAAACCTAGAAAGCTCTTACGAACAAGCCTGCCAAAACAAACGAAAGAAACCATTGAAAACCCGAAAAAAACATACCCTAGAATTTAGAAGAACCCAACGTGCAACAAGAACATCGCGCAGAAAACCAAAACTCAGACAGTAGACCGTAGAAATTCAATGACAACCTCCCAACAAAATCAAAGAAAACTACAAACACCCTAGACCACCCTGAACAAACACCCCGAGCGAACTCCGATTAAACCCCACGATGAACCCTAAACCCGAAACCCCTAAAGCCCTGAACCCCAAACCCTATAAACCCTAACCCTAAACCCTAAACCCCTAAACCCTAAACCCTAAACCCCAAACCCGACGGGCTCGGATTCTCGCGAAGTTGTTGGCCGATCAGGTCAAAGGATTCGCTGACCACCGCAGCTCCTCAGTTCCCCAGAGAGGTGTTGGAGTGTTGGGTTTAGAGAGTTTTGGGTTTAGGGTTTCGGGCTTGGGGAGTTTAAGGTTTAGGGATTCTTGGGGTTTAGGTTTCGGTTTAAGGTTTCGGGCTTTGGGTCTAGGCTTTACGGTTTAAGCTTTAGGGTGTAGTCCAAAACCCCGTGCTTATGGAAGATACCTCTTATACCTCAACCCCAACTCATAAGGAACGGATGCTAAGGAATCTAAACAGGTTGGTTTTATAGGGTCACAGTAAACCATAGTAAGGCCCCTCCTGCAATTCAGTGTAATCCTTAATCGAGGGGTTTAGGGTCTTTGGAGTTCGAGAAATTTTAGAACAGCTGCAGGGCTTTAGAAGGGCTTTCTACGGTGTTATACAGGCTTGGAAAGGAGCCTAGCTGGATTCTATACAGGGGACTCGAGCATTGGAATATCTTTCTTTTGCGAGGAGGGGAGGGATTATGCCCAGACCCTCCATCTACCTTCTATAAGACCCGAAATTCCTATTGTTTGAGGCCCTATACCATTGTTTGAGGGTACGGGGAGGGTCTTGGTGTAGTAGGAATAAGAGTTGTTGACGGTGATACTACTACTTGTAACTAATTACTCAAGCCCCCCATATTACCGTACTTGACCTCCGGGTGGTCACCTGTGTTCGGGGTGCTAGGAACCAGGGCGTTGCATGTTCTAGGGTTTATAAACCCTAAACCCTAAACCCTAAACCCTAAACCCTAAACCCGAGTTGAGGTTGAGCGCTTGTTTTGGGGGCAGTGCCTGGGGCTTTGGGGCTTTAATTTTCTGCAGGTGCTGAAAGCTCGGGGTTCGACATTCGAGCTCGTACGCCTGAATTCCAAACACTAACCCTAAGGCTCTAAGGACTCATATTTTGAGGCTTTTGGGCCCAAAGACCATACTATATAAGGCTGTTGGGCTATTTTGAGCCTTAGGGTATATTATACCTGTTTAACCAACCCGGCTTCGCTCCCGCCTCAGCAATGCGCGCAGGGCGCCTCGTCTTTTTCACCGCGGCATGTCACTCTTGTGTCGGGACGAGTGGCCCTGAAGGGCGTCAAACGCGCGAAAATCTTCGTCTTGCACTGTCAGGCACATGGTTTAGCTACTGGCGCTGCAAACTGAAATAGTGGTGTAACACAACACCACTCATGAGCGTACCTAGTCGCCAGAAGGCGTGAGCAAGCAGCTGGAGGCGCGATGAATAGTCTCAGCAGACTTGTAATAACTACGACCCGAAAGCCTGCAATCCAGAGGTGAAGCCCTAAACAGTCCTGTCTTGCACTCACCCGACCAGAACACGCCCTGATCAACAAACATAACTTAAGCTTTCACCTTAAAGCATTCTTGTAAAAAGCCTGTGCAATTTAAGGTGTTTCGGAATGTGGCGATGAAGCCTCAAGCCCGACGTTCGAACAAGCTCGTATCCAAACCGAGGCCTGAATCTCGCGACCCTGATACTTCACCGGGACCTTTACCGTAAGAGCCTCTCAACCAGGACCCCTAAACCCTAAACCCTAAACCCGAAACCCTAAACCCTAAACCGTGAAGAGGTCTTGTCCTTGTTCCAGGATGGCTCCAATCAGGAGCAAGATCCCCCAAAACCAGTGTCAAGGTAATCATTACCCTAAACCCTAAACACTAAACCCTAAACCCTATATAAACCCTAAACCCTATATAAACCCTAAACCCTATATAAACCCTAAACCCTAAACCGTCTAAACACTAAATCCTAGCGTATTTGAGAAATCCTCGAAGGCCTGGCCCCTTCTGCCCTGTTGCTCGCCGCACACATTCACTGGCCTTCTCCGCCTGAGCCGCCGAGTGTGTGGGACAAGCCCTGAACCCCGAAAGCCCTAAGCCCCTGAGCCCCTAAGCCCGAAACCCCTAAGCCCCTAAACCCTAAACCCTAAACCCTGACCCCTGAACCAAACACTTCCTAAAGAAAAGCCTTAAGATGTCCCGAAATCTACAACCTCAGCCCTACTTTCGGGCCTGTCTAGCAAGTTTCAGGCTGGGGATTCCATGAGGCTTTCCTCGAAGATTGAGACGGTAGGGTCAGATACGATATTATGGGCCCTAAAGGATCAGACCACCTGTGTAGTTCTCTAAATTAGGGTCCCTTTTTGGGTCCCCAATATAGTACGGCACCCTTATAATATGGACCCTAAAAGGGACCCTGATTTAGAAAACTACCCACCTATGGTCCTCCGCTGCTTGGGGCGGGGTATACTTCCAAGAATCCAGGTACTTGAAGGACTGCATGGTATGAGAAACTTGAAAACTATCCAGGCCACTATATGCAGATGCCAAGGAGTTTAAATGTACGTATTAACGAACTAAGAGCGCAATGCTTGCTGACTTCTGCCAGGCAGCCACCACCAAAAAAAGCTGTCCACCTCAACTCTTCAACGCGAGGCTCCGCACTTTGAGACTCGTTGGGGTCAGGAGCTCATGGGCGAGCCCAGGTCTAAGCCCTTAACACTTAAATCATGACCGGAAAATGCCCTACAAACTGAACCCCTCACCCTAACGAAATCAACACGTCAACACAGAACCCCTAAACCCCTATATCAACCCTTACAGAACCCTGCTCAGACAAACACGTACAAGACACCAGAAACTAGGCTCCAAAGTATCCCCATCAGAAGAAACCATAGCAATCCATACTAATGGTTACTGAATAATGACAATAACAAGCATTACTGTCACCATCATCAGCATCCTGATAGCCTAGTAATCATACCAAAACGAATGATGACAATCCCCTAAACCCTAAACCCTAAACCCAAACCCTAAACCCTAAACCCTAAACCCTAAACCCTAAACCCTGAAGAGGAAGCCTCAGGCCCAGGTCCTTCGTTTCCGCACAGAGCCCGGTACCCTCAACTAAGGAAGATACCGGGAATTCTGAGAGAATAAACAAGCAACATATAACGGTTCAAGGTTAAGGGTTAAGTTTAGGGTTTAGGGTTTAGGGGTTTAGGGTTTAGGGTTTATATAAAAACGTGACTCCTTAGTTTCAGATGTACATGCGGCTCTGGAAATGTTGTCTGCCCCGAGCCACATGCGACGCAGCTGCCACGCCGGACGACGGAGGCGGTCGACAAAGTCACCTGGGCGGCTGTCGACACAAGCCCATCCACCGAGTCCCATATGTGTGTGAAAGAGAAGAGAGAGAGTGGGACCCGATAAGCTTGGCCGAACTATCCACGAGCGAGAAAGCATGCCCTCTTCGGTGTAAAGCTCATAAAACCTTATAAACCCGAACCCCTAAAACCCTAAAACCCTAAACCCCTAAACCCTAAAACCCTAAACCCTAAAACCCTAAAACCCTAAAACCCTAAACCCCCAACCCCCGAAGCCGTAAACCCTAAAACCCAAAGTTTCCCGCCTTCAGCAAGCGGAACGTCCCGAGAGAAGAACCAGAAGAGAGCCCAGGGTTTAGGGCTTAGGGTTTAGGGCTTCGGGTTTAGGGTTTAGGGTTTAGAGGGCTCTAGTAGGTCATGGGGTCCATTTCGTTGTACGTTGCTTTATCATCGGATTGGTTCCCAGGTTTCG